GGTATAACATGATAGATGTTTAAAAGAAAGTTAAGAAAATACAGACCGAAAAGTATAGAACATCTTTCAGTTTTGAATTTGCTGTGTTAACGTTTAGGGTTTTTCCACTTCAGTAGACCGCAGGAACTGTATTGGTTTGCATCCAGTAAAACAGAAATCATTGTACTTTATTGAACTATTTCATGACAATCAATTCATGTTTTTTCTTATTTTCTCCTCTATACACATATGATTTAATCTCAGCTTTCTAAGACATATGGATCTGTGTTTTCCGTCTACATGGGAACAAAGAGAGTGGTTGTCTTAGTAGGTTATAAGACGATCAAAGAAGCATTTGTCAGATATTCTGAGGAGTTTGGAGACAGAGAAGCACCCAAAGTAGCTGAAGATGCTAAGCTACATCATGGTAGGTAAATTTTATATTCTAAAAATTTCAAAACTGCACATTTACAGAAGTTTGTTGTCTATGTTTCAAACAGGAATTGTATGGTCCAATGGTGACTCTTGGAAAGAAATGCGACGCTTTGCTCTGAAAAATCTGAAGGACTTTGGGATGGGAAAGAAACTATGTGAGGAGAAGATTATTCAGGAATGTCAGTTCCTCATTCAAGAGTTTATGAAGTTTAAAGGTAATACTGCTGGAAAGAATACAAATGTATCAAGTGCAGAAATATTTTTTATTAATCTTGTGTGAGCAGTTAGTATCACACTTAAAGTGAAAAGACTTCAGAGCTTTTGGGAACCAAAAGTAAACTTTCATCTGTTGGTCAAACATGAGGATACTTTTGATTAATTCAATAAATCCATTAGACCACAAGACAAACCCCTTTTTTCAGAATCTCTGTATTATAACTAACTTATATGAAATGCAAATCTTGCAGCTGGAGTGAAGGAATTCTATCTTATTGTATGAAACAAAACTACTTTAGAGTCGGCTGCAATAAAAAATAGGTATTAGAGGCACAGACATGGAGAAGTAGCTTTTGTTACAAGGATCATTCCAGCTGTCGACGACCAGTCAATATAAATATTATAATTTGTAAAAGCAATTTCACCCAGAAACTGGGGATGTCTACAATGATCA